TATATACGTCATCACGAATGACTGAACGAAAGAAGAAACCAAAGAAAGAACAAAAAAGTTGTTCTTGCAGGAAATTTTGTTTGAGAAAAATTTTGCTTGGGACTACACTATACCCCGCACTCATATTCTAAGGTAATACTCAGTTTTTTGCACTCTTTGCAACGATACCAATCTTACGTGTTAGACTTTTAGAAATTTTTTTTCGACCGTTTGATATGTTGTGTGAATAAATGATCTGACTATAATACATTTTATTTATTAGAAATTCGAACGGTTGTGAATAGTTTTTCAATAAAAAATGAATTCAATTGAGAAAACTTCATTATCAATTTTTTTTTGTAGGATGAAATCGTTTTAATCATCTATATCTATTTTTTTACACGTACCAAATTGTCGTTAGTCATAGAACTTTATAAAAATTTATCTATTATTGCCATTATTGTCAAGAAGAAGAAAAAAAACAGTAATCTATTTTGCAAAAATATTTCTGCAAGTGATATCATATAACACTCTTGATTGTTACTTTATTAAAACAGCTTAAGTTATCGACTAATTTGTTCTATGAAAAAATATCAAATAACATATTACAAAAGCTTCAATCATTTACATCTGTATGATTCCAGTACGTACACGGTTAAAGTATGAGAAACGTTTGGTTACTATTTTTCATTGCTCTCTTGATTATTGTCGAGTCGAAGAAGAATAATACAATTGCAGGTAAATTTACAAAATTTTGTATTTTGTACCGTATATAACTATTTAATTATAAGATAATTTCTCTATCTTGCGTTCAACATCCACATGTGTCGAACTGACTTGTAATAATGGTCGTTGTATTGAAACAACTCAAGGAGCTAACTGCATCTGTGATGAAGGTTTTATTGGTACGAATTGCAATCAACAAGCTTCAGATTTCTATCGTCGAACTCAACTTATACCTGGACTTGCTGATCCAGACATTCTAGCGATAAACGACGACTTATTTTACTTAACGGGTACTTCCAATGCTATGAGTTTACCAATCTTTCAGTCTACTGATCTGATTAATTTTCATCTCAAAATTACATATGATCCTTCGATTTCCGATTCTATGTATAATTACTGTTTTATTTGGGCGCCTGATCTTTCGAAACGTGATGGCGGTTACGATTTATACTTTTCTGCTCAACGTGTATCGAAAGGTGCACCTTGTCCAGCAAACGGACAAGATGTTACTACGTTCTTTGCAAGAGCATCTGACGATAATCTTATCTTTAGTACACCGGTACTTGTGGATTTTGGGATTGGAGCTCCAAAAGGAAGAATTGCTGCAGGTTGTAATAGTGATGGATGTTTGAAGACGGTTCGAATCGATTCTGCTGTTGTTGGACCTGAGAATAATCGTTGGTTTTTTTATGTATGGTTCTCAAATGGAAATAATATAGCTTCATTCCAATTTGCTTCACCAACTAATTTGATTGCAAATGCTGGACCCGCTTCTTTTTCTATTCCTGCTAGTGAAGAAAAAATCAACGAAGCACCTGAAGTATTCTGGCATGCAGGACAATATTATCTCTTCATTAGTACAGCATTCTTCGATAGTCAATATGCAATGTCCTACGTGATGGCACCAACTATTCCCGATCTAACACGCAAACGTGCAGTACGTATTCATTCGATTGCACAACGAAATTCAGCCGGAAAGTTAGTTCAAAGTCATGGACATAATTCCATAGTTGTGAGACGTGGTCAATTCTTTAATGTATTTCATCAAGGCATTTTTGATAGTGCAGGACGTCTAATTGAAAGAAGTACTTTTAAGCAACGTCTCGCTTTTCGACCAGATGGATCACTATATACATTGAACACGATCGACATCCGTTGGACACAACTTCCTTTATACCAATATTCCGTCGATGTAGTAAAGAAGGATGGATCTTCAGTTGGTCCATGTATTAGTGTAGTTCGCATTGGAGCAACACTAGAAACAACATATGTTGGTATATGTCCGGATAGCGGTAATCAACTAGTAGATAAAGGTGATATTGCTGCGTTCAGATTATTTTATTCCAGGAATAATATATGGAGAGATTTTGTTGAAGTAAAATATGATGGAGTGTCGGATCAATTAGCCGTCTATCTACCAGGTGGTATTACAAAACAAATAGCTCTTCGTTGGAATGAACGTATAACAGGTACAAGATATTCTCTCGATGTTCGACGTCGTGATGGAACTTGGGTTGCTCCTTGCGTTGGTGATCGAACTATCGGTAACAATATTGAATACGTGTTCAATGGTAATTGTCAAACAGCTCAAATTTTTATCGAACCTGCTGATATTTCATATATTCGCATATGTTCTGCTATTAATGATGACTGGGCAAGAGCAATCTGTAGTGGTGTAGAATATGATGGAAAGATGATCTATGTATCCATTACTATTCCATAATCAAATAATACAGTTTTATGTCAATACCACTGAAACTGACTATCCTAAACAATAAAAAATTTGATGTATTTTCATGAATTTCTTTCACTCATAGGAGTTGAGATGAAATTTAATAAATAGTTCTATCATATTCAGTATTATTGAAATAAGGCAAGAATAATTCAATCTTCTTTTTACCATCATTATTTGAAAAAAGTATCCATAATAACATTCTAGTTTATTCCAAGCAATTAACAATTCTAAACTATAGTTTGTTCACAAAAGGTTTTTTCCTAAGTCGATGACAATGTATATTATATAGACATGTCATCGAAGAATTATAATCATTGTGAAAGCATGCAAAGAAATATTTATTGAAAAATAATATTATATGTAAGTTTTAATGCATTCAATTCAAGTCCTTTTACAAAAAAAAAATAAAATAAAATAAAAGCAAAATGAATCAGTTAAGCTACTGGAATGTATTCATTCTTGTCTTTGATTGTTGGTAATAACATTATTCTTGTTGTTTTTCGTCGTAAGAAACTATAAATCAATAGAGAAAGAGTTACAATCGATAAACAAACAAGAGCTATAAAAAGCATCATTGTTCCAAAACATATCTTATTTGATTTATTGTTATCAGTAATCGATTGAACAATTTTATTAATAACTGTTGCTAATCTTAATCCACCTTGAATAAGTCGTTGTTCAAGAATAACCATTCGTGTATTATAATATGTTTGACCAAGATCAAATTCTTTTGAAATACTCATTGGTTGATTATTTTCATCACGATAAACAATTTCACAATTAAGTTTTGCATCTTCTATAATCCATGATGTAGAACATGCTAAATAACGTGATTCATCTGATGATGGACAATGTGTCCAATCGGATGTATTTTGTGCATAACGAGTTTTCATTTGATTAATTAAATAATCAAGATATAATAATGGTTGAGAATGAAAATCTTGAGAAATACGACGTTCAATCATTATATTATCCCAAAGCGAATGAAGATTTGTTTCTTTGCCAAAGAAATGACCTATTTCAAGACAAGTAAAAAACGAAATATATTTACTTATTTTCGTTTATATAATGAAAATTTTAACCTCGAATACTATTACCACCACGATCACCTTGAAAACCAGCGTGTAATGGTTGATGTACATCACCAATAAAATGAATAAGAAATTTAAGTGCTTCATTTCGTTGTATTTCATCTTGTTGTGTATCAGCTAATCTTATTGTATAATTTTGAATCGATCCATCAACACATTGTCGTCCTGTATTCCAGTTACAATCTTCGTCTCGATTATAAACACATGACCAATCTTTTGTATCAACATAATGTAATTCTTTAGACCATTGCCAATTAAGATAATCAACAGGATTTGTATCAGGATAAATTATATAATCAGGCCATGATGCTAACATACTAATATTTCCTGATGTATACCAAGGTAAATGATCACGAACAAAAGCTAATGATTCATTAGTCAATAATGTTTGAGCAATAGCAGCTGTAAGAGAATGACCATCTCCACCCCATCCATACACTGAACCACAAGCAATTAATAAATATATCGAAGAGAAAAATATTGTCGAAGACATGCATAAAAACATCTTATTTGAATAATGATAATATTAAAAATGCAGAGACAAATTGAGTGCCTTCTATGCAGGTAGATAGCAATTCACGATAAAAAAAAAGAAAAACCAAAAATACAAAAGAAAAACGCATTTCATATCATAATTTTTATTATCTTTTTATTTTTATTATTTAATTTTATCTTTAGCAAACTCCTATCTGTCATTTAAATATTGTAATATTATTGATGAATGAAAATAATGCTTATCTTCTTTTAGTTTATGTCAAAGATGTTCATGGCGGTGCTGCCGCTACCGCGCTGACTGTAACATTTTTTTTCGAAGTCATTGAAAAACTCCATGAATTTTGGCGTTTACAAATGAAACACCCTGACACTGAATGAATCTGATGGACAAGTACCAATATTTCTGATCCAATACAGTCGTAGCAGTGGAATTCGAAGCACTTTTTTGAAAAGTATCACGACAGTAGCAAGTTTATTTTAGAATTCATCGCGGCGCGGTAGGTTTTTCCTAAAGCCACAGCGAAAGATTTTCAGTCGTAATAGACATCTCTGGTTTATGTCTTGATCATGAATACATTACAAACAATGAAACAGATTCTTGTCTAATTGATTTTTGAAGGTAACATATTTCTTCCTCATCCTCCGCCATAAATTAAGTGAAAAGATTTAGATAATCAATTCACTAGCGACCTCTTCTCTAAAGATTAGGAGAGGTTTAAAAAGCAATTGCAATCGGTTATAACGAAAACCAACAGATTCCATTCATAGAATGATTTCTCTTTTTTCTATCAGTCGTTGTCGTAAGAGATCTAATATTAGTATGCAAGCAGAACAGAAAAAAGATGTATATTTAAACGAATCAATATCAAATGCACTACGTGTGGCGACCTCTGAGTTTTTGGAATGGGCCGAATGTAAAATTGATAGTAGTCGATAGAGAAAATTATTCTCTACCGAACTGCACTTCCAGTTTTTTCCGAAAAAATGTTCAAACGTAGAAATAATCGTCACAGCTTGACCAATCCAAACAGAGATCATCGTTAATGGCTTCAGCATGGGAATGATAACACAAAATGGCGGCTCCATACAATAAGTTATCATCATTTCTTTTATTTTCTGCTGAATTGAAACTATCTTTGAATTTTGACGATCACCTTGATCGTTACATTTATTTCAAATATTATTTATTTCAAATATTATTTATTTCAAATATTGTTTATTTCAAATATTATTTATTTCAAATATTATTTTTTCCAAATAAAAAATGAATTACAATAAATGCATACAAGTATAGAAACAGAAAAATACAACAAATTCAGTGATACAAACAAAAAAACACAAAAAAGATTATTGCTTGTGCGTCAGTTTTGAGCCATATTTTTTTCTAAAACGTGTTGCTTGTTGTATCTTGATCTAGATGGAAGAAGAGGTGTTTTATAAGAGATAAATCAAAAAGAAATGATGCGATGCACAATCAAAAGACGAGTGTTAAAAAAATTGTTGAAATTGCACTTGTTATCAATTGTATTGTTAAACGAAATATATTTAATTAATGATAAAACTAATAATACAAGTTCGTTTATTATTTTTCTACTTTTATTCAAAAAGAACACGTGTAAGCTTTCAATGTGTTCAACACACCATTTTCAAACACAGAAGTAAAAGAGTTAGAATTCTATAAATATATTTTTTTCTTTTCTATTTTATTCATATAGTTATATTGACAAATACTGTAATGCGATAACAATATACCTTTCTCTCCCTCGCAATGCACTGTTCGTTAACATTACTATATGAATAAAATAGAAAAGAAACAAATATTCTTATAAAATTCAAACTCTTTTTCTTTTATGCTTGAAAATGGTGTGTTGAACATATTGAAAGTTTACACCTCTTCCTTTTGAATAAAAGTAGAAAAAAAGATAAACGAACTCGTATTATCATCTTTATCATTTGTGTTTTTGGGGCGGAATGTAAATATGGAGAAGAACATGGTGTCGAATCTATGCATATACAACGATAAAAATCATTTGTGTATTGGCGGAATAGTAGTACTATTGTGCGCTATTCTTCTATGTATGTGAAAGAATGACCAATCCTCTGTACACATAGAACAATAGCGCCATTATGCGCTAGTCTCATTGGTCGTTTACTTCTATGGTTCGCTATTGGTCTCAATTAGTTGATGATTTTCTCAGAAATAACTCTGAGGCCGAAAAATTCGAATTCGTCACAACAACTGTCTCCTATCTAGTGACAATTGGTGTTAAGGAGAGCCTTGGAAAAAATGTTCAGTGAATTAGCGCCACCTAGTGCATTAGTATGTTGACGATTTGAGAATGATTCGATGATTCATCCCTATTTGATGGTAGACTAATATGGTCAATGTTCACTATCTGTTTATTATGTCTTATAATAGAAACAGTGAATATTATTAGGTTTATTGTCGATTTTTTTTTCTCGAAGTATATCGTTCAATAGTTGTAATATATCAATCTATATGTTTACCTGATATAATCTTTTACTTAGTTGGAATATTGATGAAACAATTAAAAAATTCTCTTCTGATATTTTTTGTTTTTAATATCAAAATATGATATGAAAAAAAAGATTTTATTCATACATGAATCATTTCGAAAAGAAAATATTAAATAAAAACTTCATCGAAGTATAAAAACCTATAAAGTTCTTCATTGAAAATGCTTCAATTAATTATTCTTTCAAAAATAGTTAATTTATAAACATGAACTTTTTAAATAGCATTAGTCTTTCACTCTATGAAAACAATCACTGAGATATTAATGTAATTTTTTCTGTTGTTTTTTTTTTCTTATGTTTCTTTCATTGCACAATAAGTACATGTAATTTACGCAATTTTATGATTCAGATATTTGTTGGTATTTTCTGTCGTAACATCATGAGTCTTTTTCGACCGTCATCAAATAAAGTTAATCATGATACATTATCTTTATTATCTCAACATATGTATGCAAGACATCGAAATATATTTATTGGTATTAGTGCTGTTATTGTAACTGGTTTAACAACATTTGTTATGCTTCGTAATTATACGTATAATAATCGTGATCATTTAGCTAAGATTCGTCGTGAAATTCAAAATGTAACACCTGGTTCAAATTCTGTATTTGAAGCTTATCATGAAAAATTAAAAAAACGACAAGCTGAAAAAGAATTTCAACAAAAACAAGAACTTTCTAAAAGTTAATTTCTTTTTTTTTTTGTTTTTCGTAGATTTGTATTAGAAAGAGAATTCAATTTGATTTAAAAACTTATGATTTTAGATATATTTATTTTTAAATTATTTTCTTTTTGTTATTCAATATGACTCGAATTAAACGTCCTTTATTTGGTGGTGCTATTCAAGCATTTTTACCTGAGGGAGCAATTGATGCAAGGTATATTTATATCTCAACGTGAAATTTTAAAGATGATTATTGTTTGTTTTTTTTTAGTTCAATTCGAATTGTTCCAAATAATCAAGAAGTATTTATGCATGTTCAATCTGATCAAAGTGTAATTATTGAAATTCTTGAACGAGTTGATGAAGTATCTGATGAAAATGCTATTAAGTAAGAATATTTATTTTTGCTTTTTGGTTTTAATAGAATTTTTTTTCAAAAAATTTAGATATCATTTTGATGCATTAGCTGAAGCAAATGATGCAAATAATATTCAAGATCATATTATTAATAGAATCGAACCAATTCCAATCAATTCACTTATTGTTCAACGGTAAAATTTATTTATATATAAATTCCAAATAGTTTAATAAAATAATATCATTTTTGTAAAGATTAACTTCAGCTTGGTATTTATTTGGTCAACAACAAATATCAAAATATCATGAACAAGCAAAAAATCTCGTTCATATTCATGTTTGTCTTCTACGTTTGGGTGGTGATCTTGCAACAGATATTCTTATTTCATTCAATGATCCAGTTTTTATTAGGTATATATATTTGTTTTTCTTTCTGATTGATTTTAATATTATCTTAAATAAAAATCGATTTTATTTTAGTGAACAAAGTAGTAGTAATGATCAACAAAATCAAAATGCTTCACGATGGACATTACACGATTTTGAACAATTTTTTCGTTCATTAGAAATAGTTGATTATGGTTTATTTGTAACAGAATCGAATAATTCGAACTTACAATCGAACGATGTTGATATGTCTTAAAATGTTGTTGATTTTTCATATTCATTTACAAAAAAAAAATACGTAAATAAGAGATTAATCATGTATAAATATAGATTTTTATTCATCAATATAATATACAGACTAATAACGATATAGAGAAAAAGAGGAAACTATATATATAGATAAAACCGAAATGAAAAAAAATAATTGATGAATAGTAATGAGATATTTTATATTTTTTTCTATGTGTTCTATATTCATCTTAATCATTTAAATATTTATATGGATTTAAATTTTTCTATGTTCTACATACGATTAATAAAGATCTATCCTGATACCCATGATAATAAATTATAAAGATAAAATAAATGACTAGCAGATTTTTATGTAATCATCTTTATTACTTTTGTTGATTGTCAATAACACAGATAATCAGGATGAGATTAAATTTACTTTCGATTAATGTCAAAAAAACAACATGATCAGTGATGTATGATATGTCTTTTGTTTTTCATATTGTCATCTATGTTATACAATGAATTGTATCAATATTGATTATCCTACTTTCGGTAAACATAATAATTGTCGATTAATCCTATAAAAGGTATTTAGAACTATTTCTAAGTAGAAATCTACAAAAAACTTGGCGAGATCGATAATAAGAATAATGAAATATTTTTTAATCATATTCTTTCTATTATTTTTATTAATACCAATTATTGAAGGTATGTTCAATCTAAATGTAATTTACTCAACAATAAATTGTCTACAAAATGATTTTATCTGATTTACCAATAATAAATAGGTATATCATGTTATAAACATAGTGTATGTTCAAACAAAGAATCTTGTATAATCGATGCAAATAAATATCAATGTTCAAATTCTGATACATTTTGTGTTGTAAGATTAAATAATTTATTTTATTAAAATTTTCGATAATTAAATTTTTATTTAGAAAAATAATATTTTTTTCGATGTAACCGAACGTGGTTGTGGTATGAGAATTTATTTTATCTTATATTCTTTTGAATATATTGATTTTATATAGGTGATAGTTTCACTTGCAATGTTAGCATAACAATTCTTGGACGTTATTGTTGTACTACGGATTATTGTAATCATGCTATTTCATCTATTCAAATAAATCGATCAATTACATTGGCATCTATTTTAATCAATTTTATAATAATTAATTTTCTGTTAACGACTAATAGATAACAGTCAAAAAAAAAAACTATGTTGTGTTTTGACCGATATGATTTTTAAAATAAATTGAATAATAAAAAAAATACATTTTTCTAGGTCAATCTGAGATCTTCATATTTATAATTCAATGTATTAGTTCCTACAAAATAAGATATGATTGTCAACAAATATTAATCATTTATGAAGATCACTTATCTATAGTAAACATTATCTTCTCCGTGGAAAATAAGATCTGTAAATCTATTTCGTAGAGTTTAGCATCGACCAGTGAAAAACATTCAAGAAAAAAAAAATTCATTCATAGAAATAAGTTCTCTTTTGCAGGAAAATATTCTCGTTCACATACTACATATGTCTACATGCAATGAGACCTTATTATGATTGCGTTGCACGTTGTTTTTTTTTTGTTTCTTTTCTGTTTTCAGATTGTCTCATTTATTATTTTTTTCTTGAGTAAGGTTGACATGAAATAAGCTGTCACTCCGAAAAAAATATTTTGTTTTTCATGTTATGATAATCGTTAATATGAGAATCTTTAAGAGAATTTACATTGGTAAAATAGGGATTTTCTGTGGAACATCAACGACAGAACGAAAGAATTAATTACAATAAGTTTTTTTTTTTATCAAGGTTAACATAAGGACGTCGTTGTTTTTTTGTTTTCATCATGTATTTCCAAGCACACATTTGTCGAGAGCATTTCTATATTCTTCTTTCTTCTTTTTAGTTTCTACATTATCTTTAAGAGAAATTCTATTTCATGCGCGATAAACATTTATCATCAAGTAAAAAAATAGTTTCTATGTCGTTTGAACAATTACCTGATGAAATTTTATTGATTATTTGTTCATATTTAAGTCCATTTCATATAATTAAAATATTTAATGATTTAAATTATCGATTAAATTGTACAATAAGTCAATATCGACAAAATATTGATTTACGTTTTTTAAATATACGTCAATTTTATTTCTTTTGTAAAATGATACGATTTAATTTTGGTAATAATGTACGTTCAATTATTCTTTCAAATGCAGCACCAGCTGTAAGACAACTTATTTTATTTCGAAAACAAATTGAACCATTTACACATATATTACCAAATTTAGAACGATTAACACTTATAGATCATTATGATGATGAATTAGATCTTTATTTACCTTTAATTTCAATTTTAAAAAATCTTAAAGAATTAAAAATTAATTTTATTAAAAATAAAAATGAAACAATATTATCTAGTTTTATTACTCAAATGTTAACGGATAATTTTATTTATTTTGATCATATTCCAAAACGTCGAAGACGTGATACATTAACATTAGAAAAGTTATCGTTAACTGGAACTGGGTATTTAAAATTAACACCAATTTATAATGAAACAATTACACATTTAACAATTGAAATTGAGAATACTGATGACCTTGTCATAATTTTTACAGGATTTGATTATCTACAATATTTAAATGTTAATTTGAAACAATTAACAGTATTGTCGTCAAATCTGTAAGTTAATTAATTGAATAGAACTTGTTACATTTTCTTGTAAAAAAAGAAATTCATATTAAAATAGTGTAGTCTTGTTTTCTTGAGATTTTATATCTATCTTTTATGAAACTTGTCTAATGTATTTCCTGTTTGGAAATTTCATCGTTCTTTTCAATCAATTGAATACTGTATCGAATAGGATATTCTTAAAAAGAGTACAGGAAGCAGAAAGTGGCAGTATAATCAGATATGTTCTGAGCGACGGAAGGATGATCTCTTCTCAATCTTAGAATATCTTTGTTTCTCTCCGGTAGTACTCAATGACTTCAATTTTCATAATATTTTCTTTTCTTTATTTAAATTCATAACAAAAATAGTAAGATAATATAGATATAGAACAAAAGAGTTATATGTAATTTCTTTCGTTTTTTATTTATTTATTATGATATATAATACTTTAGTTCTTTAATAATATAAAGTGTTGTTTATGAAAGAGATAAGCATTGTTTTTGGTTAACAGTTTGTTTTGTTTTTTTTCTTTAAAGAAAATGTAACGATAAATTTACAAATCTATTTGACACAAAAGATTATATGTTTTTTTTTAGCTGCAACTTTTTATGTAATCAACGAAAGGTTCAATGTTTATCATTGATCGATTTTCGTTTTCAAGCAAGATGGCATCCGGAATTATTATCATTTAATCAATTTATATCGATATTAAATATTATACCGAATCTTCAGAATTTCTCATGTACATTAAAATCCGAAACGAATCAAAAAGAATTTGATAATTCTGATTATATTAATATAGAAAAATGGCGTAATTTATGTATTAAATTTCATAATCTTATTAATTTAGATTGTTCAATTAAATGTATATTAAATTCATCGAATGGTTCTGAAACTGATTTTGTACAAATTATTGCAAATATTTCTCGTACTTCTGATCGATCAATTAATATTCATATTTATTACAACAATGAAAATATTAACCATATGAAAAATTACGTAAGTGTTTTACAATAAAAATCTCAAGCTTATTTTTAAATAGTTAATAGAAAATTTCGTTCTATAAAATGTATATCAAAATTAGATTATAGAGAGATTATTTACCACTCGATCGAGAAAATTCTGATATGTGTTTTTTTTCTCTTATACAATAATGTTTATCTTAAAATCATATCAAAAATAATCATGTAAAGAAAAACTATCTATGATAATTGCAAATTGTTGACATTATATTATTAATGGCAAGTGACAAATATTTCCTTTGAAAATAACCAGATTATATATCGATAGGTTTGATTTCTATAACGAGAAAAAGAATAAAGATAATCATCTAATGAGAGAACTTCTTCAAGTGTTAGCTCAAATGCATTTCATCCAATCCCTAAAAACAACTATTTTTCTGTAACTAGCTGATATACTTCGTAATGCTGAGTAGTCTACTTGGATTCATAGTAGAAGTGTTGTAGTCTTGAGAGATAATTATTACTTCTCTGCAACCGAGTATCAAAATAACACGAAATATCGTATGCTGAACAGAATGCTATAACTATAATGTGATCTAAAATCACACTGCTACGCACTATGCCATCCTGCTCAGCAGTATAGAATGCACCAACTATTCATTGAAGTTAGTCTATTTTTTATGAATAGTAGTAAGATGAATTTCGTCCTGGATCGGATTTCCGGTAATTTTTCGGCTCGGACAGAAATTTTGGCCTCCCGTTTTTCTAATCTATACGTTCACTACTTATGGGTAAAATTTGAGCTAACGCCTGGAGAAGTTCTCTCGTGAGTTCTCTAGATTCAACACACATATCAAAAACAAAACTTTATTTAAACAATACATGATGACCATGAATGTCTTCGATATTTTTCTAGTTGATTACTTTTGTATTATACATTATCGTATATATAGATTATATAAACTCTTCTTATTGGATCACTAAAAACCTCAGATTGATAGTAATCACAATCATCAAGATAAAATGGACCGCAACAGATGAAGACATTTTTATTTTTGAAGTTTTTCATCGAAGATGAGTAGCTAGGTCAAATCCAAATAGTGATTTGGATATCTCTTGAAATTCTCTATAGAATAGAATATATATCAAATTTTCAAAAGAAACTTTCTAAAGAGAGTTTTACAGGTAACCGTGCCAGGAGGGTTTCAACTCCTAGAGGATTTTGACAGAAAGATTTTTCAATATAAGCATCTCAAAGAACAGAAAATTTTCAACAGAATGAAGGGTCATACAGCTCTCTATGATATTCCTTCACAAAGTTATAGGCATTAGAAAAAATGCGGTTTTAATTGAATTTTAAGGCTTATTTTGATAAAAATCGATGAAAAACGCGGTTTTTTCGTTTTTTCTAATGCTTATAACTTTGTGAGGAAATATTGTAGAGAGCTCGGCGACTCTTGATTTTCTTCAGAATTTTCTATTCTTTGAGATGCTTATATTGAAAAATCTTTCTGTCAAAATCTTCTAGGAGTTGAAATCCTCCTGGTACGGTTTTCTGGGAAACTCTCTTGAAAAAGTCTTTTTTTTTTGAAAATTTGATATATATTCTATTCGATAGAGAATTTCAAGAGCTATCTAAATCACTTTTCGAGTTTGACCTAGCTACTCATCTTCGATGAAAAACTGCAAAAATAAAAATGTCTTCAACTTTTGCTGTCCACTTTACGGATTTTATAAGTTTTTAATTTTGAATTCGATTTTTTTCTGATGATAGTCTACTGTGGAGCTTGATATTCAAGAATTACACAATATGACTGGATCACAATTGGCAAAAAAACTTCGACATAGTCAAGAAATAACATTATATAATGATTTCTTTGTTGATGATGATAAAATATTTTCAAAATTTCCTGAATCATTATTTATTCGAGATGATAATATATTTTTACATATACGAAGTCTTGATTTCTTAGGAGAATTTTTAAATATGAATAGTATATTATTAATAACATTTGTTAAACAACTTATACGTCGATCACCAAATCTTCAATCAATTGGATTTTTTCTTTATTGGGTAGAAAATATGACTGATTTAGTTCTTAATTTTCTTCGACCACTTAAAAAATATTTAAAACAAATTAAAAAATGTTATTTATATACAGAAGGTGATATTGATGAAAAATTTATTTCTGAACTTGCAAATTTATTTCCATCATTAACTTTATTATCGATTAAAGTTGATTGGTATTGTAATACTGCTGAAATTGTAAATTTATGTCTTGTAAATATGAAACATTTAATTCATCTTGAAATGGTATTAGAAGATATTCCTGATTATTTAGATGAAGATTATATTGATCGAATAAAAATGGATAAAGAAATTGAATCTTTAGCAATGACACGTGATATACAAGAATGGTTAAAACGAAATACACTTTTAGGAAAAATATCACCAAATAAAATATTTCGGGCTGAAAAAACTGGAAATGACTTAAAAATTTGGCTTTAATTTATTTTCGAATAGAATGTATCTGGCAGGTAATTACTGCTAGAATTAATCTATATGTTTTCTTGTAAAATAAATTTGTGTAATTTTAAGTAATTCAATGATTATGTCTGATATATACTGTATGATTGATATCACAGGACTACCAAACATATTTTTACAGGCGGAAAAAATTCAAATAAAAAATAAGATAACTGAGAAGTCCTAAGATACTAATTCATTATAAAATTTGAGGAGTACAATAGTTATAACTCGTTCATGTAGCGTTACAAGATCGAAATGTTAATATATCTTGTCATTTAAGGCCCTCTCAAAAAAAAAAGTAACTTTTCGTCAGAATGTTCCAGATTAAGATAAATGCACGGAAAGATAGTCCATGATCTGATCTCTCATAAACGACAAAAATGTTTACTCGGCATCTCGGCTTTTTTCCAAAAATTTTAAAAGATTTCTGTCATTCTCTATTCGAAAATACGCTGTTTTCGGAAAAATAACTGAAAATCTTTTTCGTTCAAGCATTCCAGAATTCTCAAAGGAGCTTCGTTGTATCCAATAGATTCTCTTTTTTTTTGAGAGAGCATATCAAGATACAGGACGTGACAGAGTTTCTTTTTCAAATTAAGCTTTAATAATATTATATAAGAGAGTAAGTAAGAATTTGAAAAAAAGAAAGCTCTATCATGCCCTGCATCCTGATATGCGCTTTCAAACAAGAAATAAAATTAAATCTATAGAATGAAGGCCCATCGAGAAATTTGGTTTGCCAAATGAGATATTTTTTTACACTTGTTTGTTGAATATCTTCCGAAAATATCATTGCATAGGGCTGAAAATTTTACTATAGCCTCTCTACACCAGTTTCAACATATCCTGAAAATTTCATGCAATTTGAATGCTCCTAGCTCAAGATCAATTTTTGAGGGAGGAGCCCAAAATGATATGGATATTCGTAGATGATTGAAAACCACTATTACAGTTCATCTAGAGATATAATTTTTGTTTTGTTATGTTTCTCTGTAATTTTTCTAATGAACATGTCTGACAATAAGTTTATAATAAGAATGCAAAACATAAATGATTTACCTGTAAGATTAGATCTTTTTTGTGACAACAAATAAATTCTATATTCGGACGAACTCTAATGACATTTTTCGAACATCCTTGTCATTAAACAATCAGGTACATTTTATCTTTGTCTTATAAGTCAGCATTGATAGATCACAAATATCATAATTCTAGTTCTTTCGAGCATAGAATATAATAAAATCTAAGATTAACACTAGTAACTATTTCAGTGAGAACAAAATTCAAGTAGAAATATTTCATTTTTGTCAATTATTATTGCTGAATCTAACACATTTCGTCATATATGATATAATGATAACATAGTGCAAATTTATATGTTTATTTTAATGTTTTCAAAAAACCTGCACTTATCTGATGATGATTAATCAGAAAAGAAGCAAACGGTGGTCTCATTTATTGATTTTTTTTTGAAAGGAAGAGAAAGGAAGAAAAAAAGAAATATTGAATTTTTCCAACGAAAAGAGAAAAATATTTACAATATCGCTATACAACAGAGGCAAGAAAAAAATGAATGTTTTTCTAATTTTTTTCACGAAGTGAGTTGTTAAACAAATAAAAAACCATCAGTATCACACTACGATTTTCTTTAAAAGTAAACTGATAGCTTAAAAACTTACTCGGGATTAAATTTCAAAGATTTTATTTTAAATTGAATAACGTTGATTAATTGAACATATGTTTGATTTAGATAAGTTAAAAATATGGTTATAAATACTCAAAAACTCAAACAAGCAATATTCTATTTATATTCAAATAAAAATTGTCATTTCTATCCTCCTTCGAAATATCCTTTAACTCATTTAATTGGTCGTCAAACTATTGAACGTCGTCTTTTAAAACAAGCAAAATATGTTAAACATTTTCTATATTCATTTATTTTCCTTATAACATTTATTTTAATTAGTATGATATTTTTTCAAGGACATATTTATGTTTATAATTCATTGTTTGGTCCTTTTCATCTCAATTTTGAAGAATTTATTAAACATGTAGAAACTTATCAAACTAATCAATCATGCTTTTGGAAAAAAGAATATATTCAACTTGAATTAGGTGAATATAATTTTCAAATTCCATTTGATAAATATAAAATTATTCGAGAATATTCTGATCCACTCACACGTCAGAATCATACTGCAACGTTTAAATATTTAAAAACACCAAGGATTTATATGAAATTACCAACATTTCAGCAAAAACATACTCGAGCACGACTTCGATTCGATTTTCTATCATATTCAGTTTCAACATTACAATGTATTGTTAGAAATCTTCCATCAAATTCAATGTTAAGATATCGAACATGGGTCAAAAAAACTGAATATGTCAATTATATAAATGAACAATATAAAGGAAATATCACTTATTTTAATACGATAGTAGTAAGAGAATGTGGAATTCTAATTGGATATTTATATAAACCAGTTGATGAAAAAGGTTTTCTAGGAACTCGAGAATATGAATTTTATTCATATGATATAGCATTTAATAGAACACACCACTATTACTCATTTGATAAATTATTTATTTATGGATTAATTTTTATTGGGTTATTATTGATATATTTATTTAATTTTACAATTTATGTCTTAAATATAATTGATTTTAAATTATTTAATAAATTTGGATTATTATTATTTTCTTTAGATTTAGATTCCGATGTATTAGAAGAACTATGGTTATTAAATATTGATAATCTACCTCATGAACAATTATTACAATTAGATGAATTTATTCGACAAAGTAAACATAT